AAATGAAGGATCATTTCAAACAATTTGTTAGAAATTGTGAAATTTGTAATAAGAACAAATACGACAGGCATCCGCAAAAAGCACCAATTGGCGAGGCTCCAATTCCTAAGAAAGAGGGGGAGCAGATTCATATAGACATTTTCTTCGCCCAAAAATTAAAGTTTCTCACATGCGTTGACGCATACTCAAAATATTTAGTAGTTAAATTAATTGACGACAAAAGTAAACTTGATGAAAAAGTATTAGAAATTTTGCAAAACTTTCCTGATATTAAGAAAATAACTTTAGATAATGAGCCAGGTTTTACAACAGCTCAATTTAAATCTTTAATGCAAAGATTAAACATTCAGGTATATTATTGCGACCCAAGGCATAGCACTACTAATGGTCAGATTGAAAGGGTTCATTCTACAATAATAGAAATTACAAGATGCATTAAGCAAGAATATAATTTAATAAGTGACGTTGAATCTATCTTCAGAGCTGTTCAACAGTACAACAAAACAATACATTCTGTCACAAATAAAAAACCAATTGATATATTTTTCAATAAAATAAATCATGATAATAATGAAATAAATTTAAAAATTGCTCAAAGTAAAATGATTAAAAGGAACGAAATTAATAAACCCCTAAAAACATATAAACAAAATGATATAATATATGAGAAAATAATTGGTGAAAGAAATAAGCTTCAACCAAAATTTAGAAAACAAAAAGTTAAAGAGGACTTAGGAAACAGGATAAGAATTTTTAAGAATAATAGAATAATTCATAAAGATAATATTAAAACGTAACATACTTTTCAGACAATGAAAATTTTTATCTTAATAACATTATTAACCAAATTGGTTACAACGGATATCATAGACTACACGCGTGAAGACTATGTATTAATTGAAAACGATAAAGCAGCAATCTATGATGACTTTGGTGAAATTTACCATATAACTAACTTAACGTATTATGATCAAATAATACAACAATTTCAAAACGCATTAGATACGGAAATGAACTTCGTTAACAGTGATAATAAAATTAACTATGTGGACATTGACACGGATATTCATATAATTAGAATACTTTTTACACAATTACAAAAAATAAAAGTTCACAGAAATAAACGTGGTATTAATGAAATAGGAACCTTATGGAAGTGGATAGCAGGTTCACCTGACCACGATGACTTTATAAAAATAACAAATAAAATAGAAGAACTAGTACAGAACAATAATCAACAATTTGTTACAAACTCGAAAATTTTTAAAGCAATAACCGAACTGAATACAATTATAAAGAACTTGAATAGTAACACTCAGTTTTTCAGAATGACAAAACAACAAAATAAATTAATAATGAACGAACTACAAAATACGTTACAAACTATAACTTTAGCAAAAATGGGTATTCTCAACACAGCAATTCTGAACTTAAAAGAAATTCAGGATATTACGAAACATGAACATGACACTGTTACTATAACCGACTTAATGGATACCTCACAATTTAAAATTTTACAAAACAATGATCTAATTGTAGTATATATCAAATATCCAATTATTAAACAAAATTGTAAAAAATATGAAGCCAGAGCCATAAGTAAAGAAGATGGCAAATTATTAATAGATAAAGAAATTGCAAAATGCAATGATAAATATTTAAATATAAAAAATTGTAAAATAGAAATAAGTAATACATTTTGTCAATCTATTAATGAAAAATCCTGTTTCACGAATTTATTAAATAATGAAAAATCTAAATGTAAAAAAATAAGAGAAAGAAATAAAGAATTGGAAATTATTAAAGACGGAGCTATATTGATCTCCGGAAAGAATGTTGTAAATAATAAAAACCTAAACGGTACATATTTAATAACCTTTGTTAATCATACTATTATTAATAATCAAACTTATATTAATCAAGAATCCATAATATGGAATTATGTAAAAAATATTAAACCAGCAAATTATGAAATATCGGAATATATAGAATCCGAAAATAAAGATTTGAAATTTGAAAATATTAAATTGCTAGATTTGTATAAAAATAAAATAGAAAGACATCCAACAATGTCAATTATTATTGGATTAGTCATAAGCACATTAATTATATTCATATTATTCAAAATTATTACGAAAATTAAAAAGTGTAAAAGAAAAATTAATAATGATAAGAATGAAGAACTATTCATAGAACTGAACTCTAGAATACAGACATTGACTGAAGCGGGACGCTTCAATCAAGAAAGAGGGGAGTTAAAACCCTAAATTAATATAACGGCACTGAGCCACTGTTTGATACTTTTGTATCTTCAGAATGCGTACTTAGATATTACGCATTAAAATATGTTTATATAAACAATCTGAATCTGGGTCAATGCCCACATTTCATTTGACACCAATGCTGCAAAGGAAAACAAAATTGTTTTCTTTAAAACTGTAACACTTTTGAGATATTTGATTGATGGATATAAACATCATCTTCCGGCTACTGACGCCGAAGCTAAAGACGCTGACGAGGTGCTTTAGCAAATAGAAGCTCCAATTCTATTGGTTGGAGGAAAAGACGCTTCTAGAAAATTCTCAGGAATTTTAGAAGCTGTGTTCTAATTGGATAAAACCCAATTTCGTAATCAAAACAATAACTTCAGTTATTGAAGAATAAAACCTCAAGAGTCAGTCTAGAGTGAGCTAGCCAAAAGTCTAGTTCAAGCATTCGAGAATTCACCATTTAAACCTTACCTATTCGGAAAAATATAACTTGTAATATATATATATATCATTAATATAATAAATAAAAATATTTTTTTTAAAAATTAAAACTCGTGACGAATAAATTTAATTTGTATAATGTTTCTGTATGATCCCGATTCCTATTACATTAGGAAAGCTAATTAAATAATCTATGCCTCATCCATCTTTAATCAAGGTGGACAATGGTTTACATTATATAATATTTTTTATAAAAAAAAATACACAAATACTCTTCATAGTAACTATATTTAAAAACTTTCATAACATCGAGTTTTCTTGCTTATGTAAATTGTATTTTTTTAGAAACTGTCTCAAGTATTATCGTATACGAATGATGGTTATAGAACCAACAGACAGATAGAAAAATAGTTTATTTAAAAGAACATACTTTTTAAAAAAAGGAGTTATCAAAGAGAGAGAAGCAAAGATATATTTGTTTATGAGATTATCCGCTTTCACTGTATATATAGTAGATCATTGCATATACATCTAATTATAATTTGAATTGTCATTACTATTTGACAATCACAATGACAAACCAGCATTAACACATGCATATCACATTGCAAGAACGGTCGGATTTACGTTCCAAAGTCACAAGCAGGGAGTTTTGGTCAAAGGGACTACACAATTCCCGCGAGCTACAACAACAACTATATGCAGTGCTCTGATATTCGTAGCAATGCGCTAAGAAATTATACCGAAAACTTCTCTTTTAATAATAGAAACTTTTGTCGAAATAATGATACGAAGAAAAAAATCATTATTTCCTTCAAAATATTTATATGTTATTGGCATAAGTAGCAAATATTAATTTTGTTTTGGAGATATAGTATATGATTTTGTGTTTTTTGCTGATGTTGTTATATAACTCTTTTGATAGATTTCTGTATCCACCGCTGATTTGAAACAATATGGAAATATGTTCTCCATTTATTATTTGAAGCAATACCAAAAATATGGTTACATATCTGGTAATTTATAATATCAGTATAAACTTCGAAATTGTTGAAACATAACATTTTTGTATTTTTTATGTTCTTTATTCCGGTTCAAGGTATGGCAATAATTCTCTTCAATCTTACAATGATTCTTTTTAATGGTCCAATAATTCTCTTCAATCGTACTATGATTCTCTTAAATCGTACAATGATTTCCTTGAATCGAACAATGATTTTCTTCAATCGTACAATGATTCACTTCAATCGTACAATGATTCACTATAATCGTACTATGATTCCCTTGAATCGTACAATGATTTCCTTCAACCATACAATGATTCACTTCAATCGTACAATAATTCCTTTTAATCGTACAATGATTACCTTCAATCGTACAATGATTTCCTTCAATCGTATAATGATTCACTTCAATCGTACAATGATTCACTATAATCGTACTATGATTCCCTTGAATCGTACAATGATTTCCTTCAACCATACAATGATTCACTTCAATCGTACTATAATTCTTTTAATCGTACAATGATTTTCTTCAATCGTACAATGATTCACTTCAAACGTACAATGATTCCCTTTAATCGTACAATAATTCCCTTCAATCGTACTATGATTCTCTTCAATCATTGTAATTAGTTGTTTACGTAGGTTATAGGTTACGCATACACCTATAAGAGATTTTGAGCACTATGTGTAGAAGTAAAATAAATTATATTAAGGCTGTAACTATTGCTTCTATGGTTTCTGGGTTTCAAGGATATTTATCATATTCATAATTTTTTGCACTACCTCACCGTAACTATTTATAAGTTATTATTTATTTGTATTATTGTATATATAAAAATAATAATTATTTTATTTTCTTTTTTTTTTCTTATGTGTTAAATGTTCATTCACGATTCAATGTTTTGTCATCCATTCAAATGCACATTGTTGTCCTTTTACACCCAAAATTGATTTGATTGGACTAATTTTTGTGCTCCACATAAACAAAAAAACAAAAATTTTGGAAATTTTGGCGCTTTCGCTGTGTATCCTTCATCAACGCTAATTATGATTTCTTCTGTGTTTTGTTTAAAATAATGCATGTATTTTATTTCAATTATAAACTTTTACCTTTAATCTAATATTAACCAATAAAAATGCATCCCAACACACGCGGAATAACTATTTGTCCACAAAACCTAAATTGTGTTCATAAAAAAACTTAACAAAATGTTCCAATAACAAAAAATGCCAATTGCTTATGTTTAAACAATTAAAAAAAAAAACAAAATTAACAAAAAAGAAATTGAGGGTAATTTTGTGGAAGAACCTGTTGATATTGGTTCAAGTTCAAATGATGAACCAAAAGTTGCTGAAATGCCAACAGTCGTTATTGACACATCCAACATTAATTCTCAATCTCAATCTGAAGGCATGCTGGAAGAAGGTCGAGTCGTTACTGTACGCGATCTATTGAAGGGTCTTTATGAGAAGGCATGTCAACAAAAACTATGGGGCTTAGTCCGTCACACAGCGGGCATGCTTGGTAAACGAGTGGAGGACTTGGCTAAAGCGGTGACTGATCTGTTAGTACGGCAGAAGCAGGTAATTATAAAAGAGTTTAACTTAGTATTCATTTTAATTGATTAAATTTCTATTTTTTAATAAGGTTACTGTGGGTATGCCACCGAATAACGAATACACAATAACAGCCCCATTACCTGAAGCTGAATTGCGTCAACTAATACATGATGTAAGTATTTTATCAATATTATAAGAATATGTAGATACAAGTTGTGCTTTATTTGAAGCAAATAAGCATTTGTACTTGAAAAAAACATTAGTAACATGTTCTAACTGCAGTTAGGACAGTCTCATTTCTTTGTTTCTCTAGAAACCTATAACCTTGTTATCTTCTATTCCAATTCAGTGTAAAATTCTTATGGTATTTCTGGTTCGATGTCAAATATTAGAGCAGTAATTCAAGTTTAAGCTAGTTTATTTCATTGTTTCGTAATACTCATACTATACTATAGTCTTTATAATTTGTATGTAGTTTGTTTAAGGCGCTGATTTTAATTTAAACTAATTCAGATCTATTCATTACTGAACCCTAAATAGCAGAATGACTGCTAGTGTATATAGCAATATATTTGTCAGTATTTTAATATAACGATAATTACTACATTTGCAAATAACAGGCATATGGTGACGACGAGAGTACTGCTATGTTAACCCAAGAACTAATGGTGTATTTGGCAATGTTTATACGCACAGAACCTCAACTCTTCCATGAAATGTTACGTTTGCGAGTTGGTCTTATTATACAAGTTATGGCTAAAGAATTATCACGTACTTTGAATTGTGACGGTGAAGCAGCCTCCGAACATTTGCTAAATTTATCACCTTTCGAAATGAAGAATCTGTTATATCACATATTAAGTGGCAAAGAATTTGCTGTTAGCAGCGGTAGGTTTATTGAGCATAATGACAATTCTACTCAGACACTCTATTAATTTATTTTTATTTACAGTTGCACGTGGTAGCTTATCAATTGTCAGTTGTAAGTCCAGTCGCGTCAGTAAAAAGAGTCAAATTGGTTTGGGTGATCCAGAAGGTGAAGATGCATTAGTAGCCACTATTGATGATCGACAGGGACAATGGTTGAGACGACGTCGTCTTGATGGTGCACTTAATCGTGTACCAAGAGATTTCTACTCACGTGTCTGGACAGTGTTAGAGAAATGTCAAGGTTTAGCAATTGAAGGTCGTATATTGCAACAGAGTTTAACACAGGAAATGACACCAGGAGAATTGAAATTTGCGCTTGAAGTGGAAACGGCACTTAATCAGATACCACAACCCGAATATCGACAACTAGTAGTAGAAGCATTAATGGTGTTGACATTAGTTACGGAACACAATATGGTACCATCGTTGGGTGGAGTTATTTACGTCGAACATTTAGTACATAAAGCGAATCAATTATTTTTGGAGGATCAACGTAAGGTGCAGGGTGACGCTACGTTGTGTTGTGCCAAATCAAATGGCAAAGATCATCAAGCGGCATCTGGTATGTTGCTATGTGGTGGTGCTGCATATATATGTCAACATTTGTACGATAGGTGAGCTTGTTTTCATTTTTAATTTAAAATAAGTTTAAAATATTAATAATAAAAATTTAATTTTTGTTTATAGCGCGCCGAGCGGTAGTTATGGTACGATGACATACATGGCTCGAGCCGTTGCGCTTGTACTTGATTGTGTGCCAAAGCATGGAGAAATGGATTGTACAATTTCTTAAATATTATTTTTAGAAGATATGCAGGATATGCAGGAGAGATAAGCAAGTACATAGATGAATATGTTAACACTTTGACAAGGAATTTAATTTTTAGTATTGTATACACTTCAGTTACTTATGCTGCTGTATAGCAGCACCAAAATGTATCTTTTCATTAACATAAAACTTATTTTGTTTTATTAAACTATTAAACTACTAAATGTTAAGCAACATTTGTTTTTGTTCTAAAAAAAAATTTGTTCAAAAGTTAAACTGAATTATTTTCTTCAATAATATATATAAGTTTGATATCGCATAGAACTTAAACTTAAATTATGTACTTTCTTTGCAATCACCGTCAAAAACAAACTATAAATTGGTTTGTGTATTTAAGTTACTATTTTATGTATTAATTGTTATTATATATTTGAAACAAACACGTAGGGAGAGACGTATATAACCAAAAATTGTTTTAATTTTAATCTGAAAGCGATTTTTTACATATATATGTGTATATTTTTGATTTAATAAATTAACTAAAATGTGTTCCTATTCATATTTATTTTGACTTTTAGAATATGATAAAATGAAAGTTTGATTTGGAAATATAACTCCTAAATATTAATTAGATTCTATTTTATTATTATTAAGGTTAAGTTAGGATTAAAAGGAACGTGTTGTTGTAAACATCAACACATCCTTGTGACGTTTTATTATTGTTAATGTCCTATTCAAAAATTTACAAAGAGTTGTCAGTTATTCCTTTCATCTAGTAAAGCTCTCGTTTCGCTGGAAGAGAGAACCGTTCATGGTTACTATAGTTCTAAAATCTAATGTTTAATTTAAATCCCATTCACCCTCCACAAACCACTACCCATCCACTTCCCCACCCATGTAATCGTCTTGTATATTCTTTCATGTTATCTGCTTACAGGTTACAGTTGGTTACAACAACTACAACTATATTTGAAAGGTATTCCAATTGTTTCGAAAATTTCCACACTATTGATATATATTTATATTTTGAATTAATTTAAATAGTTCGGATTTAATTCAGAATAAAAGATTTGCACAGATTGTACCCATTACTTTTAAAAAGTTATATAAACGAAACTAATATTATTAATTTCAATTGACATCCATCCATATAAATCGTTCCTGATGTGACTGTTCTCTAATAAACACTTTATGTTGTAGTAAATGACAGTGTTCTTTCCCATAGAACCTGAGATTCGACCCATAGAAAGATAATAGGATTTTTTGAAATACCATCTGTTCTATATCCCCTTATAAAGATCTTGTTCTTTGGTATTTGAGATAGAAACGCTGGTATGCTCTTCACTAGCATTAGCGCTAGCATTCCGTGACTTATTTAAAACTTGACTATTGGAGGCTGAGAAACTAATTAACTATATTGTTAACTATAGATTGTCCCAGCTAGCTCTAGGACAGCTAGAGTTTTCGTTTGTTTGGTTCATTTTGAGAGAGGGGTATGGATATGCTAGTATATGTTTTAAAAGACTAAGATTATATATCACACTAACTAATGCCTACATAACTGACATCAATGTATGTATATTTCGAAAGAAAACCATTTAATTTTAATATATGAAAGAAAAATATATTTAAAGTATTTTGAAAATAGTTGCTTTTATTATGCTTTTGTTATTTCGATTGTTTATCTAAAATACATTTCACATCTTAGTTTGATTTTTCTTCTTTAAAGGCATAAAGTTAAATGAAAAAACAAAGTTTAACATAAAGGCTTTGTTAAAATTTAAAACAAAAAATTTATTAAGCTATGCTAAGTTTATTGTTCGAATATAGTGTAATAAGTTACTTGCTAACAGAAGTCTAGTGAATATGCTTTTTTTATATAAGAAAAACAATAAATCCGAATTAAGTTTTAGTGTTTTTAATTTGTTAATTAAATTAAATAATATATATATAATGTATTAAAAAAGAACATGAGGGCGTACTATAATAAGTAGAATGAAATAAGTTTAACAATAACCATGATCTGGAACTCGTTTCCTGGGTGCACAACGGATGATGTCATCAACACGCAGTATCATTTCGGCAGCTTCTGCTGCTGATAGCAACACTTGTCGCTTTACAGCGAATGATTCAGTAATACCAAGTTCTTTCATATCACCAATTTTGCCAAGATCCATATTCAAGCCGGTACTTGATTTGCCCTGCGCGTGTGCAGCACGCAGTTCAGTTATTAATTGAGCTGAGTCATAGCCAGCGTTGTCAGCAATAGCAGTAGGTAGTGCAAGTAATGCTCCTAGAAAGCAAACACAAAAGAATTGTCAGTAATTAATAAATTAAAAAATTTATGTAAAAAACTTATGCTGCTTTACTTACTTGCAAATGCTTCCATTGCAATAGCTTCTTTACCAGCGGTTTCAGCCGATTTCCTAAATATTGCATTAGCCATTAGAGCTTCGGAGCAACCGCCACCGTAAACAACACGTGATTCTTTTACTGTGGCAGCCAATACACAAAGTGCATCGTGCAAGGAACGATCAGCCTCATCAAGAATTTGTTGTGTAGCACCACGTATCACAATAGTACAAGCTTCACCCAACTTAACACCACTGAAGCGCAATAGTGTTTCCTCGCCTATCATTACTTGTTCAATTAGTTCACATTCACCTAACTTAACTAATGCAGGATTGTCAAAAGTGGACACAATTTCACCACCAGTGACTAATGCTAAACGCTCAATACCATCGAAGTCGGCGTGTTCGATGGCCATCACACCAGCATCTGCGAACAACTGTTCTGGGTAGTTGTAGATCAACTGTCTATTAATGAAGACATTACAATTGTGACTTAAAATCTTTTGTACTTTATCCTTCATTTTTTCCTTCTCAGCTAATTCTAAATCTGCTATTTTCGACAATGAGTCGACTTTAATATTACTGCCGAAGACTTTTATCTTGTCGGTGTCCATTGGTGTGTTTGCAATTAGGATTTTAGCTTTTTCGATCTACATTTAAATAAAGTTAATCTTATATTACATACAACCACATGTTTATGGTGTGAGTTAACAATAATAAATGGTGATTGGTACTCAACATCAAACTCGTCAAAGTGGCTGTGATATGAGTATCTAAAGCATCATATTACACACCCACTTCGACGCGTTGAAATTGAATTATGTGCTTATGATTAGTGTGGCTTCTTATAAGATAATCTTACCCTTTGTGGCTGATGTACACCTGGTGTCTTGTCCAGCAAGAAACCTTCATCGAGGAATGAGTCTTGTAATGTGCCACCAGTTTTCTTGATTATTTGTATGGCAGACAGTTCTCCTGAACCTTTAAGACGTAGCACCGATTCCACAGCCAACTTAGCAAAGAATTCCTTATGCTGATGTAAAATTTTGGAAGATAGTGTGGTGCGGGCAATGTTCATAAGATCTTGTTTGAATTTAGCATCATTTGCTGAATTATCTTGAGAAGCTTGTGTAAGTGCATCACGTGCTACTTGCACTGCCAAACGCCAGCCAGCAATAATGATTTGTGGATGTAATTTCTGCTCAACAAGCTTTTCGGCTTCTCGAAGAAGTTCGGCAGCGAGCACAGTAACTGATGTGGTACCATCACCAACTTCTTCATCTTGTACGCGGGACATATCAACAAGAATTTTCGCAGCGGGGTTATCAACTCCAACCGAACGCAAGATAGTGGCACCATCGTTAGTAACCTCTACTTGGCCTGCATTGCGTCCATGCGACACGAGTATCTTATCCATACCCTTAGGGCCTAGTGTACTTTTTACTAAGTCACCAATGGCGATTCCACCAATAAACGAGGATAAACGCGCCATTTCGGCCTTTTCTTCTTGTGCCTCATTTTTGAGGACACGTACAGGGTTCAGTGACATCTCCTGTAAAAAAAGAATTGATTATTTTAGAGAGTGTGGCAACGCCTTGTAATCCACAACTAATTTTAATTAGCGATTCAACATAACCAAACTTTTGCAAATATGTAACATCTTAAATAAAATACTATAATTCGAATATTCATATAACTATATGATCTGAAAGCACCATGTGGACTAACTTTTCATTCAAACAAGTTTTTAGGGATTATTCGAGAGCATGGTATGATTCATGCAAACCACGCCGTTTTGGTGGCGGTTTGTATTTAGTAAATGACTAATAATTTTTTAATTAAAAATTAATTTCATTCTAGTTTCATAATAAATTTTTGTATTATACAATTATATGCACAAACTATTATATATATTTGCTTATTAGTAGTGGAATGATCCAGAAACAAAATCTCACGTGCATATGGGCTGCGCCATATCAAACAGTTTTTTTTTTCTTGCTTGTTAACGCGTTGCGGTCATTCGCCCAAAACCCACCCGGCATTACTATTTCGATTTCTTACACAAATTTCACTAAATCTATAATTATTTCATAATATATATGTTGGCTACACACTAAATTATTACTTATAATTCATTTTTATTATTTATTATATATAATTAATTACCATTTTGTAGTTATTTTTACACAAGCCAAAAGCAGCAGCAAAAGATACACCCGAACGACAAAATTGAAAATGGCGAATGACAGAGTCGCTTTGTGTTGCCAACTAGTTTGCATTTTTTTGTACTAAGATTTCGGTACTAAAAATATTTTTAGTGTTGTCATCCGAAATAAATAGAATTTATTTAAAAAAATTGTTAACAGCGGTGGTGTGTATTAAGGCCGTGTGCGATTCCCAGTAAATTGAGGTAAAGTAAATTGAAATTTCTAGGGACTTTTTGCACTGCAATTATTTAAATATTTATTTATTTATTATTTTTGGTTAAAAGTTTTCGAATTTATGTATTTATTTATTGAACATTTTATAATATTTTCAAAATGGTAGCATCTAATTTACCTAATTTTTATCGAATTACCTTATTGGAAATACTGGTAAATACCAACATTCGCTGCCATTGTTACATAATTTATTATTTCCCTCACTTTACCATCAATTTACTCGAATGCGCACAGTACCTAGGTATAAATTTATTTTATATTGCAATATATGGTTTATTAAAAATATTTGTGACACTCTAAAATTGAAAAATATTTATAGATAAGTGAACAAAGTATAGCATAAATTATTGAAATTATCTTATTACGGCAAGTGAAACTAAATAAATAAAATTTCACTGCTCTTCTAATGAAATGTTAAAGTCAGTACTTTTTTATTAAAATAAATTACAAAATTTTTGTTTTAATTAATAAATTGATTATCTTTATTTGTTATAATAAATTATTCTTATAATAATAGTAAAAATATTTATTGTGATAAAATTCTATTTTTTGATCTTTTTAACTTCAGTCTAGACACAAACCAATTAGATATGACACAAACAACTAGTTCTAACACAAACCATATTCATTTATTGAAAAATGTGAATGAATAAATGTGATGCATTTTATTTAATAGTACTTACTAGTTATTAAAATACTAGAGTTTAAAGTCTAGTATATATTTTCCTATCAAAACATATTTAGAGATTTGCAAAAAGTAAGCCTAGCACTTGTAGTTCATCAATTATATACGGATATATATAATGAACGAATACTTGAAAATATTTATTACAATATATGAATCTTAGGATGATATAAGTTTTAACTTCAATGTGTAATAAATTGTTTTCCATATTTTTGCATATGATGCCAATAACTTCCAGTACACTCTAAAAAAGTATATATCCAATGTAGAAAAAAGTCTATTGTTTTTATATTTTATTAATTGTTTATATTAGTTCACACATTCTAATGTGATTAAACAAGACTACGACTATTTTTAAGCCAGGTATATTGTATTAGAACTTAAAAAAATTTTTTTATGATAAATTGTTAGCTTTCATACTCTATATTTTTGGTTTTTTAAATACATTCTTTTATATATACATATGTATAATTTTATTTGTAGAGTCATGATACATTTAGGTAGTGCTTTTAATAAGTTTTAATAAGTTAATAAGATTACTAACAAATATTTTCTATACATTTACATTTGTAATATTTTATATATGTTATGTATATATATGGTATATATATATGTTAATAAATTCACAAATATATAATAAAACCTATTAAATGATTTTTGATATAATATATTTATATATAAATCTACGTACAGTTAGCTATCATATATAAATTACGCCTTTGGTTCTGAAATAAAATAGAATTTAAAGTTTTGGACTCGGATCATTACGACTGTATTAGATCTTTTGTTCCACTTGGCTTTAAAGTAGTTCTTTGTTATACATGTGGTATATAGAAAAGATTTTCAATTCGTAAAATAAAGAAATTTTAATTAATAACTATATATCTAATAACAGCTAAAATATAACAGCTAAAATAAATCATTTTTCATTTAAATATAATAAAATAAATGAATAAAATAATCATTTTAAATAAATCATTTTTCATTTAAATATGATACAGTTAATAAATAATAAATAACTATAATTATCTCTAAATTATGTTAAATAATGTGTAATTTCAATTTTCAGTTTTTATTATTTGTAGCCTTGGCACAGAATGTACAAATATTTGATCGTCCCTTCTCAATCGAGAAATCATTGCATTGATGTGGAGCAAAATAGGCGGCACAGGGTTTTTCCGAAGTACCTAAGAATAATATAAAAATAAGTAGTTATATTTTATAGTTAAAAATATAATTTTCTCTAGTTATTACCAGTTAAAATGACTGCATCTAGATGAGATATATAACTCTTCGCTAAACGTAGTATTTCGATTTTTGATAACTTTCTGTTATACGGTTCAGTTGGTATTAAAGAACGTAAAGTGGTAAACGCGGTGTTAACACTAATGGCAAAAATAATTTATATAAAATTTTAATACTTCGATTTAAGTAACTCGATTGATTGCTTACCTTTGTGTACGGCAACGTTCCCTGGCATTGACCTCATGTCTCGGTTTTGTTGTACTAGAACCACTGCCAGCACCATTAGACGAGTCCGATTCGCAAGGACTAGTACGATTTACAGTTGGGAGTTCGTTAGCGTTATAATTCGTATAGAAACTCATATTCCCCGTTATGCATTAACAACTTAAATTATTTTTAATTTTTATATATTTAATGACTGGACATGTAACTTGAGCTATGGCACTAATTGTTGAAATATCTTTTAATTAAGTAGTTGTTGATTTGTTGATTTGTGAAAAATTTTAAATATCTCAGCTCAAAGCATCGCACATCATTCACGCTCTCCACGAAATGACTAAATTAAACTAGCTCTGTTCGAAGCCACTTATGCTACCAGCGTACGTTTTTTAGCGATCGCGTCGAAGATCGCCTATCTCAGTCCGCCTAGAACTGTGTGTGCAGCCAGCGGCAGCTCACACAAACTCACACACTCTGTGGCTCTGTGGAAAACTGTGAAATGAATTAAGCCATTAATGTGGACAAATTGTCCATAAACGTCATTATCAGTCGGACTGGATGATCTTGTGTGTTTGTTTGCGCTTCGGTCTGTAATGACAGTAGCAAATTTATTAAAAGTACTTCAACCAAAATGGTTTGTTTATTTTTAAATTAATCCTACAATTCATTTTACTTTGCTTTGTTATTATGTGTTATGTGTTATGTGTGTTCCATATACATAATATAATAACAACACACAATAGAGGATAATCTGCCCCTCAACCACTTAAAGCGCTGTTTTTTTTATCATATCGAATTGCGTCCGCTTTGTGGTGGTCAACTGCGTGCTAAGTGGTTCTTGTAGTTTCTCATAAAAAAATTGAGAAAAATAATTATTTTATATTCTTTTTTAATTTTAATTTTTTAATTATAACTTCTTGATAATGTGTCGATAAGTTAATTAAAAACTTTAATTGGCAAGCGAAGTGACGTCACCCACACTGCAGCAAAAAAATTCTTTCAATATTTTTGCATAAATTATATATATTTATTTTTTATTATATTTTTAAACAATTGTAAAATATTTACTTGTCAATACTTGTTTTTTAAAAAAAGAATCTATATAATATAAATAAACAATTATTTTTATTTACTTTATGATCCAGAGAAGAGTACATAAGCACTTGCAAAAAAAGTAAACCAAACCAGGTCTCCAAACCAGTGGTCATTGCAAGTGAAGCCTATTTCTCATCGGTAGGTTCTATTACTGATTAGCGTTAAGTACAATAGTATAATACTATTTCTATAGCTATGCTACGTCTTATATTGATGAGATCATAAAATCTGACGTTGTCTGTCTCCAATTTACGATATACATTCTAGTTGTCTAATATCACTTTTGATATAAAAAACTTAAATTTCAAAAAACAAAAACTTTTCAGTATAAAGTTTCTAATACAATTTCTTCACTAATTTATCTACCTATTCTAGTCTATACTTTACCACTACTTTAGGGTTCCTGCGTGGAGTTTTCAAAACGATTTTATCAAAAATTTAATTCCTAATAATATTTCGTGATCTCTGGTCCATTATCATAGGTAATGGAGACTTACTATTACCTATGATATTATTATAAATAATTATTACATTTTTCTTATATGAAAGTTTACTATTGACAAAATAGATAAACTTTACTGTTTATACCAGGTAGTTTATAAATATTCTGAATTAATAAGATCTATTGAGGATATAATCCAGCTAATTAGATAGTTTTTTGTAGAGATGTATATATGGATAGCCTCGTCTATTGTCCCATTTGACTAGAAATACTTTTGAAAAGCTGTTGCTAAAGTCTAATCTGTCAATGTCGCCACTACCTTTTTATCGTAAAATAGAGCAGTGATAGTACTCTAGATATGTTTTATATTTTTTTATTTTAGCTCCCCAACACTATAGCTTAGTGTGGAAGTAATTGCAGTAATGCTGTCTAATTTGATGAGAAATACATTTGCAAAGTTGTTGCATTAATTTATTTATCCTTTATATGTATATTATAAAGAAGTGATCGTATGATATTAATATAACATGATAGTGACAAGACATGTTACTAATTTTCTTGGCAAGATAACTGATACAATTCATTTTAATATATCAACAAAATTGTTGTAACTCGGGTGAAAAACTTACTGTATGGTGTGGTTATTGTTCTGGAGATGCGACAGGCTTTTTTGAAAATGACGTAGGTATGATAGTTTATTCTGATCGCTACAATCACAAGATATCCAATTTTTTCTGGAGTAAAATTGCGGCTATGTATGTGGAAGACATGTGGTTTTATAGGACGATATTATGCGCCATACGAAATGTTCTGTTCTGGCTTTGTTCTGTGAAAAATTTACTGGATATTTCACGTTTTAATAATGTGACTTGACGGCGGATATGATGGGATTTGTTACTACTTGAGTTATTTTATTTTATTTTTACTTTATATATTATTTTATATATTAATTATTTTTGAGGTAATGCAAAGGATCGTGGTAATGCAAAAAATCATAAAACCTAAATAAAACTTTGTTAAGATATAGTCTAGCTATTATCACGTTCGTATCGCAAAATAATCGAAACTAACATTACTGTAAATGTATTGTTATACTGTATTTACACGAGAGTTTTGTTTGTAATTTTAACTGTCAAAAATTTTTATTTCGCAAATATTAAAAAAAATTATGCTTTCCGAATATTAAATAAATAAATAAAATATTATTATATTCATTTCTTTCTTGTAAAAAAGTAAATTTTTTTTTGGTTTTTGAATTCGTTAAACAACTTTTAAACAAATACATTTGAAAACAGCTGATAGGGACAAAAATAAGCTTCAGAGCTATAAATAAATTTACATTAAGTGTTGCAAAAGGACAGAACAACTAAACTAATCACAGCTCACGAATTTGTGTTTTTGTGTCATTGACCTAAATAATAATATATAATAATAATATTATATAAAATCATAAGTTCAACAAACCTTCAATTACATATTTATATTTTCGTAATTTTATTTTAAATAAGTATGGCGGGAAATGGTTTGCCATCTCCTAATGACAAGTTGTTCAACTAAAATGCGAAAACTCTTGACTAGAAGCAGCAGAACCCTACTGTAAATCCCACAAAAAAAGATTTATGTAAGCAGAAAACATGAGTACGAAACTTGGGAAACTTGGAAAACTGACTGGATTGTTACAAAATCTAAAAAATCAAAACCAAGTAAGAAATGAAAAGCTGAGTCTTCCCTTGAATGTGTAACAAACAATAGCAGACATACACTTCCCCCTCCTCCTTTAATGGTATCGCATGTTGATAATTATAGAGAGATGTACGCAAAGATTGTTGAAATTGTAAAAGAACAATTCTCTGTTAAAGTACTTAGCAACGGAGACTACAAAGTCAAAGTGTTTAATATTGACGACTACAGCATCGTAACAAAAATGCTTTCCGACATCAAAAGATCATGGTATTCATATGAAAATAAGCAACTAAGACCGATTAAAGGATGTATTAGATCCTAGAATGTGCCATATCCTAGTATTGTAGAGTATACTAGATCTAAGTACATCAATATGTTCCATCTAAGTATTGGATCCTAGTACTATGATGTTCAGTGAAGTATATTTGAATGACACTGTATTTGGCACATGGAACAACCAACTTCCATGTTTCACAATGTACTAGATCCTAGGAGCGTATTTGAATGATGCAGTATTTCATACTCCTAATAGGTAAGCTCTAAAAAAACATACTTTTACTGAAATAAAATTTTGATTCAAATCTAAATCACAATTTTTTTGTTTTACGTTTATTTTTACACACAAAATTGATAACCCTGTATATTTATTTTGTGACAGTTTTACAAATTTCTTACCATGTATGTGTATCTATGTGTTCATATGTTTGTGATAAAAATCAAAAATATTTTGACCCCCAATGTCGTCAATTTAAAAAAAATAAAAATAGTCATCAATTCTTTAATAAGGTAGGTTTTTCATAGTTTCCTCTTCACAACAGGACATCTAATGTCTTTCTTTCTTCCGTAAGGAAGTGTGTGCAAGTGAGTGCCACATGTGTCTAACCACTTAAAATAAATACTATCCGTAGAATGGACTGATGTAGATCACGATCTTAGACATTGTATTGTAGTAAAACACTTAACTATTGTATGAGCTATATTTGACTTATTTACTAAATAAAAAAAAAGATTAGTAAATATTACTTGGGACTGAAGGGACTGTTGTAGATCACATGTAAAAAGGACTGATGTAGATCACGATCCTTGACATTGTATTGTAGTAAAACACTTAATTATTATATGAGTGATATTTGACTTATTCACTAAACGAAAGGAAAAACATTATTGATTTTATTTATTTATATAAAATTTTTATTTACAAATTCTTAAATCGTAATAAAAATACAAAAAAGTTTACAAAAACAAATATATTTTTTGAGGTTGCATGAAAACGGTAATAAAATAAATTTGAAAATATAAACAATAATATCCATACCATTTCATTATTTAAAGTGTAGCACAAATAACTGTAGGAGAAATATTACATTATAGGCTAGATAGGAGAGATTATATTTCAGAGTAATAATAATAATATAAGAAACAATAAAATCGACTTAAAACTAATATAAGAAGACAATCTTAAACTAAACAACTCCATCGTATTTTCGTTTTACTTAATTTTAGTGACAAAGATTTAGGACTTCTATAGACTTTTTCTTATTCAATTTTAAAATTTTACAATTTTACAAGTTTACAATTTTAATTTATAATTTTAAATTTTATGCTTAGTTCTTTTCTTTCTCATATAAATAATAAGATTTTTCTTTTATTTTTGCTTTTTGCATTTTTAGCTTCAACAACTTTCCAGCAAGAATTAGCAAAAAATAATTTTTTTCTTCAATGCCAATTTTCTTCTTCAATTAAATAAATCATCACTAAGTAATTTACATCATTACTTCTCATAGGCTTTTATTTAATAATTTCTTTTCTTTTTAAATAAAAATAATAGTAAATAAAACACCACAGTCGTTTTTACAAATAAAATAGCTGAAAGTTTTGAAAAGTGGGAAAATTTTAAACTTCAGAATAGTGAAAAGCATAGAGAGTAGATATAACAATATTTACAAGCACTCTAGGGTTAATAGGATTTTTCAATAGATGTTAGATAGCTACTACGATACGATTGTTGTTAGGGATTGATGTGAGAAATAATTCTGATAGAGTAGAATTTTAATATAGTAAAAGAGTATTGGAAAATAGTTGTTATAAGAGGTTTACAATAAATAAAATTTAAATTTTCTAATATATTTTAAATAATTTTTTGAGTAACTACTTTTGATTTTTCAAACTACTTTTGATATGAAATAGCGGCAGTATTTTTTAGTAGTCAAATATACAATACAATACAATAATTAAACTAAATAAAAATGCTTTCAAATAAGTTTCTAAAATGATAGTTTATAGTAATTCTGGTTGATTTTTTGACTGAGCTTTTGTTTTGTTGGCGATGAAATTTTGCGGTACATAAATTTTTTACAGTGTAGATGAAAACTAAAGTGTTGAAAAATGTGAAAATAGCACATAGCACGGCAGGCTTAAATAAGCGCTGTTATCAGTTTTGCTTTGAAGTTAACGAATTTCTCGCTGGTGGCAGCAACGCGCTGTAATAGAGTTGGATATGTATTAATCTTCTGAACTTAGGTTTTTATTTAAGGTTTTAGCTTACCAATATCAAATCTTGCACTAAATTAGCTAAACCTCTATTGGCCAAAACTACTAATCTGGTAACGGGACCGGGAATTCCTTCTGTGTAACCATCGGCAGCACGATTTGAATCAGCGTCGGTGGAATCGGTGCTACCGCTTACTGTATTGGCACTATTGGCTGATTCATCTCCGGCTTGAGTCTGTACACTGCCAGAGAAGAGCTGTGCGTATTTTTTAGAGTAAAAAATTAGTTAGAAAAAAAGCTTTTATATAAATATATATATGGTATATACAAAGTCATGCAATAAATATCTAAGTTAAAAGAAATGAAATGAAAGATTCAGAAATAGCTGTTAATGAAAAAAAAATCTCAGTATTCTTAGTTAATACAGAAGATTACTCTGACTCTATAGTATGACGTTTTTAGAAATGTTAAAAAAGGTTATATATTAAGTGCCACTTTTTACTTTTTAAGTGACACTATCTAAAGCACTTGTCGTGCTTTAAATAAAACGAGCTTATAAACTAGAGCTTTATTTGAAAACACAAGTTTAACGAATTGAAAGTTAACCTTTGAAGTTGCCTATTTTTATTGCAGACAATTTGATTTTATTGAGCCCCTGACGCTCTATATAATAAGGTGTTGAATATGAATATATCTTTGGTAGCAATCACGAAACTGTTTATATACATAGCTGATTAAAAACGTCTGTATAATATAAAATCTGTTCCAGTGAGAGCCAAATATCTTAGCAATATTATAAGATAATACTTACACGAACGATATCGAAGAGGAAATTTCCGGAACCGCCAGGAGCAGCATTGCCATTACCAGCACCATTGGCACCTGAACCGCCGCTTGAGCCACCAGCTAAACCGGCACCGCCGAAACTCAAAAACCTTTTAAAAATATTACTAATGATATTTTTGTACGGATTAGCAAATATGTACCAGAATTTTGACAAGTGCATTTATATATTATAACCAATTATTATTTACAGTGTGCATTAATTTTATACAATAAAAGATACTTTATAAAATATATCGAGTACATTGTTATAGAATAGTTAAACTGGGTTAAAATAAAATACGCTTAACGGTACAAAACTAGATTGATTAATATGTATGATGAGATATCTGATTCATAACTCTGTACGAGGGTAATTTCATAAATTAAACATTGACATCATTATCTTACAATATTACTCTCCCTTTTTGACATTAGGAGGTCCGCAACGGCCGACATTCTGGCTTTCAGTCGGAAGGCGGAATGTATTCTGTTCGGTTAGGATTTGTTGGAGTATTAAAGATCAATCATGGTCGCAGTGCTCCGCTCCGTTGGAAGCTAGTACCCTGTTTATTTCTATTCCTATTCCTATCTTACAATATAGTTTGGTGTAGATACGGAATTTTTTAAATATATCTCTACACATTAATCATTTTGTCGTTTATCGCGTTCAATATGAAGTGAAAAAGAATGGATTTCAGTTAAAGATACTGTGTAAGCTTATATAAAATTCAACCGATTACCCTGTTGATTTCAAGGTAATCTTAATCTAGAGTGTTATAATTTAATCGCGAGTGTTATACATCTCACTCCAGATTTACCAATCGAGAATGAAAAATGCACTAAAAGTGAATCTCGATTGAAATAGTTACTCTAGAGTTATCAATTGAAAATGGCATAATTAAACGTTTGCGCTTTATCGATATTATAGATAACTGCTACGATATATTTTAGATGAAGAATCTTTTATATTCAAATATGCTTACCTTTTGTTACGATCATCCAAATCGGCCGTATCTTCCGCTGAGTCCAAAGTTAGTTCATCGATTGCTGGTGACTTTGATTCCGAGAAGCGTTGATCATTATTGTTTTTAGTTTCACCGGACACAGGCGCGACCTCGTTGTTAAAACTTAATTGAATGGGTTCATTGGATTTCTGTAGTGCGGCAATAGCATTCGCGGCTGCTTCAGCTTCCTTGACTTGACGTGCGACGCGTATTGTCTCTTCTAATTGTTTATTTATTGCTGATATATCAATTTGTGTGTCTGTTGCAATGTTCTAATTTAGGTGGCAACATGCAACATAACATTTTTGTTGTTGTTTGATTTGATTTGAATTGAATTGATTTGAAGGTGAATGATTTAATTGGGTGATTGTAAATATTTCATTATATATTTTTTTCAGTGTACAATTGTGGCGTTTTTAATTTAGAATTTTGAATTTTGACGCAATTTTTTGAAGATAATTTTTTTATATTATAATTATATATTTTTTTTTTATAAATGTTGTAAATGAAAGTGTGTAAATTATTGTGTTTTAAGTGCACAATAAATTGTTGTTGTTATAATCAAAAGGATATATAGGAGGATGTGGTAGAAAGTAATAAAGAAAGGTGTGGTTTTTTTGGAAGCGAAAGTATGGTTTAAGGAAAAGTTTCATAGGTTCAACAGAATAATGGATTCATAATAGATAGTAAGTTATAATAATATATAGTTTAAGAGGATTTTTGTAGGTGTTTTTAATATTTGTGTTTGGATTAGTTCATTCAAATGAAACCGATTTCAATGAATTCGCGTGCAAATGATGTATTTTTGTATACATTTCATTCATTTTTTATAGTTGGGTTGATGATTTTGTTTCGATTTATTTATATATTTTGTTTTTAATATATAGATATTTTTTGGGTTATTTCACAGATCGAATCATATATATGCGCATGAAAATAAAGAAAGAAAAGAGAAAATAAAAAGCATGAGAATTATGAAATTTTTTAAAAGCCAATTTGCAACGATAACGTAAATTTATATAATAATTGAATTTGGCAATACCACATTTAGATGTGTTGACAGCATTGCCATGTGTTAAATAACATGTGGTAATGCCAAATGTTTGTTTAACATTTAAATGTTCAAATTTTTAATGTTTTAGTATATAACAAACTATAAAGTTAAAGTTAAAATATTTTAACATAAAACTAATTTATTACTACATTAATTGCTTTTTAAGAGAAATTCAAACCTTAGAAATTTTTTTGTTACGACTCAGTGGCGTACTTAGTAGAGAGAGGGGCAGGAGGGGGGTACTGAAGTTTGAGATTTAAATTCTACCTAAAATATTCTGAACAATGTTATATTAAATAAATTAGATTTCTGTCAATTAAAAGTTAGAAGATTGACACTTTACACAGTAAAGAAGACTTTACTCCGTCATTTAAGTAGAAAGAGGTCAACTTGGCAGATATTTATATAGAATAAATATTTATATATTTAGTCAGTAGAAAAAGCAAAGTCGACAAATCTGTGATATAGGAATTCTAGTTACTTCTAGATATAAAGGGTTCGGTAACACAAGTATAATAAGAGCAAGTTCTAAATATTTTATCAGTAAATATGTTTACTATAGTAGTCTATAGTATAGAAGTATACTCTAAGTATCTATAGCTTTAAATCAGAAAATTTCTAAACTGATTTTCGAAATATTTAAAAAAGTTTAGTTATCGATATTAAATAAAATAGAAGACTTTATACTTTTAGTTAGTAGAGCAAGTTTATTCTGAGTTGCTCTGATAAGAGATTTAAAGCATAGTTAACAGAAGGTATTTTAAGTCAGTAGAGCAAGTTGACTTTAAATTCCTGTGATATAGAGATTTAAGACATAGTTAACCGGAATTCAATAATGGATATTGCAAGAAATCAAGAAATCAGCTGGAAGATAAACTAATAGTTTGTATTGTAGGTAAATATACTTTAGTTACTGACATGAAAGGATCGGCAATAACATTAAAATATATAATTAATAGGAAAGGTGGAATTCAGTTTCCTGATGTAAGGCGTTGAAAGGTGCAGTAATAGATGAGCAACTATAGAAAATACTGAAAATGCTCAGTTAGTAAACAATAAGATTGATTTAAAATTTGTGTAAAATGAAAAAGTAGACTTTGACAAGATGGTCAAAAATCGGACTATATTTAAATCAGTTGTTTTATGAGCGCGACTAGAAAATCGGAATTAGACCTATATAATGTAATTTCAGTTATAGTACAGGTTGAGAATATTACCATTTACCAGTTAGTAACTATAATTATCACTGTTACACATAGTTATATATCCGATTACTGTCTAAACGATATTGCAATCTAAAGTTTGAATTTCTCATATAATGTATACAAATTAATTACTCTATTTTTTTATTTACTTAAATATATTTTTCTAATGTGTGCGTAACTAAATTAACCAAAATATAATTAAAATGTTTTTTTATTACTTTAAACTTACAATACGACCAAACATATGTATTTAACATCTAAGTTAATAAAAGATACATTTCATACACACAATCAATATATACGAATCTATTTAATTATAGTAGTGACTACGATAATATATCAAGGATAAGTGCATAAAAATATAGTCGAAGTTGATTACTATATAATACCAAAGCATTCTTACTGAAATCTTCCATATTAGTTAGATCTTGAAGAATCTAAATTTCGCACAACTTCGACTACGTATAGTCAAGGATAATTTAATATATAGTCGAGCGAAGATGACAAACCGGTAGACGTAGAGCAAAAAGTTTTTGATAAACAGGCATAGCAATGTTCATATATAAAATCATTAGAGAATGATTCTAAAGGATGCAACTAAATGCACTTGTATGAGAGTATGAGATGGCGTTTTGAGTGCTTGAAACCACTGATAAGATTAGAATGTTCTAGAAACACAAGTGATGAAGATAGTTTGAAAAATTAGCAGTGAAGAGTGTAGAGAAAAGTGTGTGAAAGTGTTTTTTTTCTTTGTTTTGATTGCAGTTGATATAAAATAATTTTTATGAGTTGAATTTCTGACAATTTAGCGCCAAAGTTGTTTTTGAATCACTAAATTTTTGAGTGTGACATTTTTTCCTTATAAATTTGCTTTGTTATTTTAAAAGTGAATTTTCGCTGGTGTCGTAGTTGCCAATTATTATCAATTTTTATTTTTAAAAATTCTGTTAATTATAGAAATGTAACCAATTAATTTTTATAACAGCCAATTAAAAAAAATATATATATAAATGCCATAAAATATATTTTACATGTACTTAGGTACATCGATAGGTTAGTAGCAATATCACATTAGGCCAATAGACCCAAGTAGTGAGGCTACACTACCAGTACCTTTATTTTATATAAAATATATTTTATATTATTTCTCGATAATATTGGCATTTAGTTGTTGTTGTAGCAAATTCATTTTTCTCAATCCTCAACACTCACATTTTGTTGATTCAGTCGTTGTTGTGGTCGTTGAAGACTTATCATCAGTATCAACTTCATTATTAACTTCATCGTCTTCCGGTGTAAATGTTGGTAATTCTATCGACACTCGAGTGCCACTATCGCTATCCGAACGTGTGCTCGATGATGAACCGCTGCTGCTGTTATCGTCATCATCATCGAAATCTGCATCGAAATTTGTTCTAGCGCGATTGGCATTATTTCCTTGTATGGCAGTACGTAGAACTGTGGGTCCCAGTGCGCGTAATAATTTTGATATTATGCGATTTGCTTGTTCATCGATTTGCTACAACAACAATTTGTTGTTAATTTATATAAAATTTTGTATATTAATTTTTGCTCCATACTGCAAATGTTTAATTAATTTTTTTTTATTTGTTAATGATAACAACTAACACAGAAATGATATGATTTAGCGGTGCACTTTGTGAAAATTGAAAGGTACAATACACAAAACTACGAAATTTAAGAAAGTATCAATTAAATATCTACTATTAATATATATGTGATTGCAATACTACTTTTGTTGTAAAATTAAAATAGATAATTTTTTAAAATTTTGATGAATTTACAAATCAGTAAATACTTCACAAACATAATCTGAAACATAGGTATGTATATAATTTTAATATTTTTTTAAGATTTCTGTGAGAAATCACATCCAGTAACATTTAAATCCACTACCAAATTATTTTTATTCTTAAAAAAAAATAGCATGCATTATATTTTAAATTAAAAACCATTAGTTTTAACAAACACAAAGTATTTAACAATACTAATAATGATTATTTTTAATGTAATTATTATATAAAATATTTTTTTTTCTTTTTCTTTTTTTTATCAATAGAAATTGGGCTTTGTTTTGCTGAAAAAGTACTCTCATGCCTTTTTGTGGTGCTTCAGAGCTTTGCAGGGATTAAGAATGTTCGAAATCTTTCAATGAGATAATCCATTTAAATATTACATGCAAAGTGGGTTAAAAAGGACTGTAGTACACAGAAGGTTGTCATTTTAATATCACATTTAGTTAGATATTTGAGTAAGGTGCATTACACCAACAACATAATTTTAAAGAATATATTTAAAGAGTGGACTTAGGATTGTTTAGAGAGGTTGTTAGTTAAGGTATAGATATGTTTAAATTGTGATATTTTAATAAGAGTTAGTCTTTAAACTATCAAGTTATTGAACTAGTTATTCAATTAGTTCATCTAGTTAAACTACACTTGTTAAACTAGATTAACTAGTTAAACTAGGTTAACTGGTAAAACTAGGTTACCTGGTTAAACTAACTTAACTGGTTAAACTAAGTTAACTGGTTAAACTAAGTTAACTGGTTAAACTAAGTTAACTGGTTAAACTAAGTTAACTGGTTAAACTAAGTTAACTGGTTAAACTAAGTTAACTGCTTAAACTAAGTTAACTAGTTGATTTAAGTTAACTAGGACTAACTTAACACGTCAACCTAGATTAACTAGTTAAACAATCACATTATGTTGATGATATTAAACTATCAACATAATGTGCTGATAATTGGGCATAATTGTTTCCCTAAAATAATGATAATAATATAAACAAAGTAAAAATATTGTTGGCATAATAAACGCAGAAATTTGGAAGAAAACTTAGGGGTCCATTGATTTCAAATCCCAATCTTAAACCATTTTTTGAAGTTATATTGTGACCCTATTACGTATATCATAAAATACTAAATAAACAGGTGATACATCCCAATTACAACTTATTTATAAAGATTAATTTAATATATAAACGACTAAGTATCAATTTACAGATTGCAGGCTATCACTATTATTTTAAGGGAGGAACCTTCAATCATTGAGAACTGTACTGAATGGTGTATTTTAATCCATGAAGGGGGCAAAATAAATATTTACGAGTGCCGTGTAAGTTCTTTTTCTTGTATAAGAATAATAAATACATAACACTGTATCTGAAAGATTTTCTTTTCTCTCTGCAGATTTTAAACTATAAAACTATAAGCCTAGGGAATTAATTTTCAAACAATTTTTTCAACCTAAGCTCTTGTGGCTTATATTTGTGAGTTCTTTATATTTTGTTTTGAGTACTCAATGGTACCGGTCGTATATATGTAGTTTGTTGGAACTTCAAGTCTATATAATTAAAGTATTGAAGACCTGAATCAACAATCTCTATATTGACTATGTTAATAAAATTATTAATAAAAAAATTAATAAAATTAATTAATTAAATTTTAATTAATTAAATTTTTATTAATAAAAATTGGAGTTCGTCGAGTAGTTAAAATTAAGTCCCCTTATTAATTTAATGATAATTAATGATTTTTTTAAATAATACATATTTTTTATGATTATTGTTTTTTTGATGAAATCCAATTAAGTAAGATTAATTAATACAATCCAATTGTAGTGATGAGGATTAAATTGATAAATATCGCATAAATGATATGGCGACATTGTGATCATAATGATGATGATATTGATGTTCTAATTGACGTTCATAATGATGAAAATGAACATGATTTTTTTTGCAAATTATTAAAAGTAACGAATTTTACTAACTACAAAATATGTAAGTAAAATTAAAAATATTAATTACGTTGAGAAGATTGACTATTTACGCTATGAAAGACTAAGTAGTAGTAGTAGTAGTAGTAGTAGTAGTGGTAAGTAGTATGTAGTATGGCCTGAAACCGCGTAGATTCAATGGGCAGCTGTGGCCATATATAATCCACTAAGTGAGTGATGCTGACTAATGTTGACTAATGCTGAATTCGAGTAGCTACGAGTACAAGTGCGATGCGTTGTCAATTTCAACTAATTTGATGAACGCTGAATATAGATTGATGAAAATAGTTGTTCCAATATATTGACATTTGGATGTTTTTTTTTTGTTCTTATAAAGAATTTCGCATAAAATTTCATAGAATGTTGTCAATTTGCAAGAATTTCAAAATATTTTTTTTTTATACATCAATTGGTAGTAATTTTGTAATTTTTACTGTAGTGATTTCTGTTGTTGGAGTTGACGATGTAGTTGTTGTAGTTGTTGTAGTTAAATTATCTCTGGTAGTAATAAAATAATTGGTAGAATTTAATATACGATTTAAATTATCAATTAAAGCAACAATTTGTTGTTCATCAACATCAAGAGTAGAGGTTGTTTGCTGTTCGGCAATATTATAAAAATTTGATATTGTCGTTGTGGTCACTGTTGATGTTGTTGGTTCAACAATTGTTGCTGGAGTGCTTGTAGTTGTAGTAGCAACTGTTGTTGTAGGAATGGGAGTGGTCGTAGTTGGGATTGGGGTGGTAGTTGTAGTAGGAATCGGAGTTGTGGTTGTAGTTGTGGTTGTGGTTGGAACTGGAGTTGTGGTAGGAATTGGAGTCGTAGTTGTTGGTATAGGAGTTGTTGTTGTGATTGTAGTTGTACTTTCAGTCGTGCTGACTTCTGTTGTGGTGATAGTAGGAGCTTCTGTTGTTGTCGTCGTTGTTGTACTTGGGATTGTAGTGGGATTTATGAAAGGAGTTGTAGGTGCATATGTGTTAAAATCTTTGGAACCACTTAAGGAATTTGTTGTTGGAGGTATTGCTGAGCTAGTGGTTATAGCTGTTGTAGTACTCGAACTCACTTGTGTAGCTTCAGTTGTTGCTGAAGTTACGCTATCATCATCATTACTATCTGGTGCAAAGGTTGGTAAATCAATTTGTACGCGAGTACTTCCACTGCTAGTTGTTGATGGACTGTTGTTGTTGTTTCTCGAATTAATTTTGACGTTGTTGTTGTTATTATTATTATTATTATTATTTGTACTAGTAGTAGAATCATTACTGTCATCATTATCATCATCATCATCATCATCATCGAAATTGGCATCAAAGTTGCTACGCTCTGTCGAAGGTCTATTATTACCTAATAAAGCCGGCAGTAGGCTGGGTCCTGCGACACGTATTACTTGTGCTATAATGCGATTGACTATCGCATCGATTTGCTACAATGGAATTGCATAAAAAGGGTCACATTGAAACTATTATATATAATTTTTATTGTTGTTGATACCAAAGTGGAAAACCCAATTGCTTGCCAATAATGTTTTGGTCACGTAATTTTAATTTAATATTGTTTTCATTTCGTTTAATTTTATAATAGATTATAATGGTAAATATATATATATATATAATATATAAGTGTATACAAATATTTATAAGTTTCCATAATAAAGTAAGTGACTGTCAAAATTAAGACAGTGATGTAGGTATACCAATAAGGTGGGTGGTGGGGAGGTGGGCGGTTATAATGTTTTAATTAAACCAAACCATGCACTAGGAAAAGTATCTTAAATAATTAATAAAAATAAAATCTATAACCATTGTGATATGTTATTTTTTTCCCTTTTACGACGGGCGTTCACTGCAACACAAAAGAAGGGTGATCAGACTATAATAATTTTGTGCTCTTAAAATTTCAATTTAAATTGTTTGATTTTCAAAAATGTTATTAGCCAATTAAGTTGCCAATATTGTTTGATTAAGTTGTCAATTTGATTAAAATTGTAGTGCATAATTAATTTCTATTAGCTTTTGTTATTTGTTGCTGTTTTCAGTTAAAATTCATGAACGCCATATATATATAAAAATTCACTTCGATCCTCTCCATGCCTCAGTTTTCGGTCACATCATTTTGAAATTCTTCATCCGGCTGAAATGTTACCAATTCTTTTGGTAAATTGGTTTGATTTTCGTTTACAGGCTCATTTGCCAGACTGTCGGCTGAGTTGTCAGTGGTGTTAGTTTTGCCAAAAAGTGTTGGATTCAATGCAGTGCCAAGTATTGCAGGACCCAAATGGCTCAATATTTGATTAACAATTCGATTTATTTCTCTATCTATTTGCTATGGAAAAAGTGTATGTTTGGCATAGATTAATAGAAAACTTTCTTAAGATAACACTTCGTATGCTTGAAAGGGGGAGTAGACATATATTAGCACATTAAATTATTAATATTATGCGAATGTTGTTATATATTACAGGTGGGGTTCATTTGTTATGCAATGCTCATTTCAAGGAACTCAACGCAGCTTAACATGCACACATGTACGCACACCTCATTTTATGTCAAATGCACATAAGCATCCCTTGCAGTCACATAGATACATGTGGCCAATAAATAACTGAACGCTTCGGGCAGATACAATGCGTATTAATTATAATTTCAAAACGATTTGTTGTTAGCTCAACAGTCAAAATTCCACTTTGACACATGACTTATAAATATTTAATAATTAATTATGTAAATAAGTCATTTCAAAAGTTTAACTACGCACCTCACATTACTTAACTTTTTTATAAAATAATTTTTTTTAAACTTGTATCTCAGTATCTTAGTATCTTAGTATCTTAGTATCTCATACAATACAACAGTTAATTAATTAAATAATATTTTGATGTTACAATGTTTTTCTTTGTTTTGAGTTATGTGTATAACTGTGTATATGTGTATGTATGTATATATGTATGTACGTAGCATGTATTGTACAATATGTTTATGTATTTCTGTATTTCTGTGTTTGTGTTGTATGTGCTTCTTCTTAAGATACCTTTGTAATGTCAGGGAACAGTTCACGTAAGAGTCCGATTGTTCTTTTGTTTCTGTCTGCGATGATCTGTTCCTGATCTTTGGCTCCAAGTGTTAAAACATCAAGTTCCTAAAAACGAAAAACAAAAAATTGTATTAAAAACTTTTCAGTGAGAATTAAGTTGTTTTGTAATATGATTAAATAATGAAGATACATTTTTTTTTGTTAAATCTTTTAAATATTTGTTAATTTTTTACTTTGTTTCTCCGTTATTTATTTGTTCACACTTTTAATTTCTTGTAAGCGAAGTGAAAGTGTTAAGTCGAATTTCGCAATACGACCGCGCACTCGCACTTGCAATCACATTCGTTAGTATAATTAACTAAAATTATTATGTATCTCATGATATTTTCACATAGACAAAAGTTACATAGACGAAAGTTAAATTAAAATTATGCAAAACGGTTTTTTTTTCTGAGCAACGAGATCGTTTCTCAAGTGTGTGGGGGGATGCTCTGACATCATACAAAACTAAAACTATCTCTTACTCTTTACTTAAGTGAAGAAATGTCATAATAAATTATATGATAAATGCAAATGTATCTTAAAAGCTAATGAGAAATCACTACAATGAGGGTTGACGAAAAATGTCAAGACATTTCAAATTTACTGTATAGCAACTTCAAAACTGGATGCTTGTAGGAAATGCAATGAGTCGGATAGAAAGAAAATGGGCTTTGAAACTGCCCGGTTCTCTCGAGAACTCAACAAAAATACTTGGAGGCTGTCAGTTTTATCTGACTGGAGCACATACCAGAGGTTTCTATTGAAATCCTAATAAAATTTAATAATGAAAAAGCGCATCCTAATGATGCACACAATCGCCAAAAAATTAAGACTCTGATCTGGTATAGCATTTGAACTTAATGGTCTACGCGTGGCCTTTTATTTTTGGTCTGTCAGCATAACCTAATCTAACCTAACTTCAAAACTGATATTAATACCTATGCATATGTACTATTAGCTAAAATTGAGTGAATAACTTCATTTAATTAATGTTTAAAAGCCGCTGAGCCTTTGTCATTTGCTTATTTGAAACTGCAAAAAGAAAGAAAAAAATTTTTTTTTTCACTTCTTCGGAAATGCAGCAATAGAACGTAGCTATGTCTATTGAAATTCGTGCAAATGTAAAACCACTAATTGGTACGTCAGCATAAGGCAGTGTATTAGTAGATAAATGCTGTAAACTACACAGCTTGTTGGTTTTTTTTTATAAAAACTGTGTGCTATTAACGATATTCAATCACAATACATATGAATTTTGCAGTAAATAAAACATTACAACACTCCACAGATCAAAGAGCAGTGGAGGCAAAGGGTTTAACTGAATAGATCATAGTTGAGAGATGTTAAGGTGTCAACATATTTAGGTGACTAATAAAAACGCAACACTTTTTTGAAACGGAAATGCTACAAACTAGATAAATCACCATTAAAAGGTCTAGAAGCAAAAGATGATGAATATAAATCAATGCATTGGACTTCTTCAACGAAAACTGAAGAGAAAAACGACTGTTTTTGATTAAAAAGCAACTGATCTTTCATTTAGTTAATGTGCTAATGTACACAATATGTGCCAAGCCACTATAATATCAAATAAAATGAAAAAATAATAGAAGCAGAAAATTGGAATAAAATCACACAATTCATCGGAAATATGCTAAGAGAGAAGAAGAAAGACTTGGACGCAAACTAATCTAAAACGAAGAGCAATCTGATGACTTTCCAATTCGATTCAGGAGTGGGAGTCTGGATGCAGATTTTACGAGAAGCGTATGACATGGATGGCCAACTTATAAGGGATCCTCCCTAAAGTAATGCGCAAATAGTCCCGTGGGGAAGGGTGTCTTAGTTCGTGTACTACAAGGTAAGAGTCGGACACATCATTTCGGAGATGGTCGGTTTGACAGCAAAAAAAAATTGGTAAGATTTGATTAATTTAGTTCCACTAATTTCAAAAACATTTTTAAAACTATAGTAACTACAATGTAAATCGTAGTATTAAACGTATATGCACATCAACAGAGCCAGTATGTAACAACTACGTAAATTTATTTATTAAGGTAATTTTTCTACGAAAAGCCGTTTCGTAGAATAATTTTTCCAATAAATTAACTTGTTAAAAAATCCAAGTAGCTAATTAAAAAAATACTTTATTATACGAATAATAAGTAGCATTTATTTATAATTTAAATTATAATTAGAATTGTTTAATGTTTATATAAATAGTATACATAAATTGTTTTCATTCATAACTCAGTTTTAATAAATGCATTTACCTACAATAATTTGCATATCTTGTAAATCTATTAAAATGTTTCATGTCACAATTGCCATTTTCAGTAAAAAAGTATCTGAACTGAGTACCACAAAGGTGAGTAATTGATAATTGCTAAATTATAGACAACATGGCACGAGTCATTAGACACGAAGTACCTATAATTCAAAAATAAAAACAAAACAAAGATGCAATGCAATGCGCAAAACATTATATGCAACCTATTAGAATTACTTTATCAAATTTGCCACATGCTAGAGATTTGTATCTTTTTTCTCGTGACGAATTATGGCACGAGAACTAGCATGAAATAATTTTTTCTACTTGCGAAGACAATTGCAAGCACACCACGGGTAATGTGGGTAATGTGAACTTAACAGTTTACACAAACAACAAATAGTGGGTAATGTCAACTTTACAGTTTATACAAAGACAGCTGCTAAGATAAAATCTTAATTTCGTATAAAAAGATATCTACGATTTATTCGTCACGACAAAACCCAGCTTAAAATAATTGAAAAAGAAGCCGTTGTTGGAGTTGTAAATGATGTAAAACAGTAGGAAGTAGATGAAGTAAAAAAACACTTCAAGCAGGAAATGGGAAGCGGGAAAGAAAATGTTGATATCCGAATAATGTATATATCAAGCTTGGCTTTAACTAATTTAAAATTGAAGTTAGTAGACTGTTAACTCCGTTCGCGTGAGAGGTATTATAATTTTGTGGGTGAGTAATTGTTTAAAAAATTATATGCATTTAAATATAAAATTTATTGTTTTACTTTAACATAAAAATTTAGACTTAGTTTAACATTAAAATGCTTAAAAATTTTAGTATAAAATAATTACGAAAATTGCTATCTTATTATTAAATTTAAATGAAGTTCAGCAGTTATTTTAATAATTTGTTAAAATTAATTTTAAATCTTATTGTTCATGCTTTCACTATACAAAATGTTAAAAGTTGATTAAAAAGGGGTCATTATAATAAAAAAAATAAAAAAAAATATAAAAGCACTGTTACCAAAAGAATTAGAGAGATGAAGGAAAAGCTCCGTTTTCATTAAATAAGTTAGTCTTTGTATGAATAATATATAAAAGAAAAAACTTTAGATAGTAGACAAGTACTAGTACTAGCACACAAGTATTGGGGAGCCGTATAATAATAATAACAAGCCTTGCTCAACGTCAATGATTTTGAGCAGCCTCTTATACTGGGCATAGATTGTTTATAAGTCGCTTCCACCTTTCGTGCTGCAACGCAGCGTCCTTTATATTAGTAATGTTGCTTATTCTTTTTTTAGGGTCTGCAAAACAATATTTATTTCATTTAATGTTGACCTTCTTAGGGAGCGGTATAGGAGTATACACTGCTCTATACCTGCCGCACCGCAGAAATGAAGTCTCTAATAAGTACATATCTGTTGAAATGAGAAAAAATGTGGTAATAAAATAGTTATTTGCTTCGATTTATAATATTCTTATAGTATATACTGGAATATGATGATGTACAGGTATATGGTATAGGCACAGTAAATCAAGTCTTAGCATACCTCTATTTTCTCTGAAATACAAACATGAAACTTGGAAGATATATAAGAATCACTACTGCGCATGCGAAATTATTTATATTGATTTTAGACTAGAGTATGTTTGAAATTCAAGATAGTCTGCTGTTTAACAATAATGTCAGTGAACAATTAGTGGATAGGTCCCAAATTGATGCTGTTGCTATGAACGGAGTAATCCGTTCTGTCAACTATTAAAGGTTTTATGTGTGCGTGTGTACTTGAGGTGGTCATTCATCACCTTGACTCTATTTTACCAACTAGTTTGATTAAACTATTTAAGTCAAACTAAGAATAATTGAATATGGGGACTTTATGAAATGTTTGATCTAATGTCTTTGTAACTGCCTGTGTTTATCAGGTTTCGCTAAATTTCCGGTTGTTGAATGTTGGTTATTAAACAGTTTCAGTGAACGATCTTAAATGTATTTTTCGAATGAATCGACTGTCAGATCTCTATGGATACCTGGTCCTCTTATATACCACGGGATGTTAACCAATTTTCTTTCTTATTTTTGAGTGGCACAATAATTTGTTAAGTTTGCAAATAACAATAGTTCAATAATGTTAACACTATAATAATATCTTTTTATCTAAATATTATCTATATTGTTATTTTTGTTTTGTTTAGTTATTACTGTTAATGTATAAGTCACCTTTAAGATAATATTAATTTTTTATAAACTTATCATTTGTAAACTGGAATTTCTTGCACGAACTTAATTGAATATTTTTTTTAAAGAAATAATTTTTTTTTGAAAATAAATAAATTTTCAAGTCATATACTTTTGAATGAACTTGAGTCAATTTTAATATAGTTAATCAGACGTGTCTGGTTTTCCATAAAATCGTACCATCACTTTTACATAATAAAATTATACGAAGTATGCATAAGTAATGAACCAAGTGACGTCAAATACAATATATTTTTTAAAATTAGAAATTTTTGTAATATCTTAAAATTATACAACTATTTTAAAGCTATATGACAATGTTCAAAAGAATTTGTTTAAGGATTTTATTTAAACTATGTAATAAATGTTAATATTTGAATTACTTAATTATGATTATATATTTATATTAAGAAAAATACTATACTCTATGCATTAGCGTATTTACAAGCTGAATAGGTAATATCAAAAATCATGTTTATTTATGCTGAGTAACTAGGCTATATTAGGCTTTTCTTTATAGCTTCCAAATCACCGGTGTCTAACCTATAGCAG